CACGGCCAGGATGGACAGGGCTTGGAGCAATCTGGTCTAGTGGAAGGTGTCCCTGCCTGTGGCAGGGGATTGGAACTGGATAAGCCTTAAAGTCCCTTCCAACCCAAACTATCCTATGATTCTATGAAAAAGCAGCAGCATGCTGCTAGCATTAAGAGGCTGAATACTTGGCCCTGGGGTGTTCCGCCTGTTGTATTTGGAGCAGTATTCTTGCTGTCATGATGAATTGTCCTGCTCTTTTTTTGTCAAAAATCGATGTTAGGAACGCTATATGAGGCACTGTAATTTTCTGGAGGTGGAGCATGTCTGAATCAATTATTTTCTATATTGGAAATTTATCCTTTTTTCATCAGGAAAATGCTTTTATTGTCAGGAAAGTGGCCTGATGAAACAGAATTATGTTACCAATATACACTAATGAAATATCTGAATAGATCTGATAAGGGCTTGCATTACTTGGCAGTTGGATAATATTGCAATATCTTGGTAGTGCATGTAATTTTTTTTTTCAGTGTATAAACTAGATTTGGGATAGAAACAGTCCAGGTAGACTGGCCACGGAGATGAGCCCCTACAGTGCTGGCACCAGCTGATGTCTATCTGCTTCTACCATAGTTAGTTTTTGGAGGATACCCCAGTAGTTCAGTAAAATTGTAAGCATGCTCTTTCTAGATGAAGCATCTGAACTGAGCTGGGTGCCCTGAAACTGAGTTTAGAGTTGTGCCCGCTGTTGCGTTCAACAGTGTGCATTTCATCTCAGGTAAGAACTTCATGCACTGAGTTAGGTGAAAATGTCATTTTGATTCAGAAGCCTTCCCTTGTTTCCAGACCTAAATGGAACTCCCAAACCCCACACCTTAAGTGTGGTATCAAAGGAAGTCCTGGAGGGGTTGTAGGTGCTGTGCCACTTGCATTGAAATTGCTCAGGTAGGAAGTAGCTGCTCTTTTAATGCATTTGCACCAATATGCCAGTATCTGGACAAATGTTTTGACTTTGCATTTAACTGTAAGTGGGATTCGTTTGCTGCTTCCTGCTACTCATAGCAGTTAATATTGGTCGAAAACAGGGCAGTCAGGGAGAACAGGGGAACGTGGAAATGTAGCTCAGTGGTATTTGGCTCATTTTGGAAGATTCTCAATTAGCTGATTAAATGGAAACCGCTGTATGTGGAGAGGGTCAAAGCAACTGCTGGACCGTGGGCATTAGCTGTGGGAAGGTGATGGAGGGGAGCTGGTAGAAGGGATAATGTTTGCTCAGTTGTCTCTGGGAGAACTTGATGTACACGGATACACCCTTCCTGTCTCTCTTTCTGCCCTAGCTGTGCATATGCCACCCACCCATGCTGCAGTAAGCTGTCAAGATAGTTGACTGCAGAAAACTGGTAGGACAGGAGACTCCAAAGCAGCTGTGTAATTCCTGCCTCTCGAAACTGAGAAGGTTTGTGCATCTGCACCTCAAACCTCTCATCTTCAAGCCAAGAACCACAGCTTGAGCTTCTTTAGAGCCCAGGGTGGTTGATGACCATGAGCACAAAGCTGGAGAACATCTCAGTTCAGAAGCTTTAGAAACCAAGTTAGGGGTTTGAGCTCTAACAGATCTGACCCAGCTTCCTCTAAGGGGACACCAAGAGGCACAGCAGTCACAAACTAGTCATGTTGCTATCCTGCTGAGCTCCACATAATATTTTGTAAAAGATTAATCCTGTTTTGAAACTTCCACAAGGACTGATATGTTAGCAGTAACCTTAATAGAAGTGGCTGTGCATGCAGAGCAGCACAGATTTAGGTGGGATGGAAAGGACTGACATGAAATGGTGGGTAATGATGAATATGGAATAGGCAGGAACTCATCTTTCGCTGCATCTGCTTCTCAAAGTGCTGTTTTTCAGGTGGAATGATGGGAACCGCTAGCATGTGTTCCTGTCAAATGACGGAGATGGCCTTCATCAAGTAAAAAAAAAGAGGCAATAAAATAAGTGGCATAATAACTTCTGGTGCCCAGGGCTATTTTTAGGCAGCTATTGCATTTTGAAGTAACAAAAGGTAGGCTGGGTGCAAAACAGATAGTTGGAAAAAGTGATGAATGAACATTCAGGATTCTGAGCAAAGGGGCAGCAGAGAACAAGTGAGGGGTGAAACCTTCCCACCCAGAGGTGAACAAGTTTCATTTCCAAGAATAAATGTAACCACAGTCTTGCTGCATGTTTATTAGCAAACTGGCAGAGCTGTGGGCAACAGCGCCTTTTATCAAAGAAACACCCAAAATTATGCTTTCCTGTGGGATTCCGTCAGGTTTGACACAACCCTGCTGGTTGGGGCTTCATCCCAAATCTGGCATGAGCACCTCGGCTCACTTTCAGGTTTTTTTCTGGGGGGTTGCTTCACCCCTTATACCCCCTACTTTGAGGTTTATATGTTCTATTGAGACCTGCATCAGTTAAGTTGGAAGCTGCTGGTTAGGCAGCTCCTGTAACCCTGCAGCCACAACCACTCTCCAGCTCTTCTGCAGCTGCAGTGGGGTGCTGCTCAAAGTGTGATCTACCACACTGCGCCCAGAGTGGTGCCTTACGGCATTAGTTGTGAGAATGAGATGGTTTCTATAGAAAGGGCTCAAGTGCTCACAAGTACTTGATCAGAGAGGCAGAAAGGGTCTAATATGACATGAAGACCCATGCACCTTATATTCAGATCAAACCCACATTTTTTTTTTGACAGTTTGGTGGGATTTGTTGACTGGTTTTAACCTTTAAAATGTTTTACAGTAAGCTGTGCAAAAGACTGGGATAACGTTGCATTTGTGCTAGCTTTTCAGAAGAGCCTGTAGAGGAAGGCACATAACTAGAGATGGGCAACCATGAGGAGCAATACAGCAAGAAGAGTGAATTAGCTGTTAAACAATGGAGTCAGTTCAGTAGGAGCAGTGCAGGTGCCAGTGAGTAAAGATCACGCCTGCCAATGCTTCATTCCTTGGTGAGCTTCCAAAGCGTAGCTCTGCCTAGACTTTTGTAAAATGCTTGGCTTAATGTTGGTTTTTGGTTTTCTTCTTTGATACAGTTTTTAAGAAGGATGAGCTCTATGAGCTAAAGGTCAGGTACACGTGCAGAGCTCTCCTCACTGCTCCTGAGCTTCCTGAACATGGGAATGCTTTGGTGTGTTCAGTGCTGCTCAGCACACTATAGGAGTGATCTGGAAGAAAGCATGAAGTGACTCCTGATAATTTTCTAGATGCAATGTGAGGGTGGTGAGGCCCTGGCACAGGTTGCCCTGAGAAGCTGTGGCTGCCCCATCACTGTCAAAGCCAGTTTGAACGGTGCTTTGAGCAACCTGGTCTTAGTGAAGGTGTCCCTGCCTGTGACAGAGGGGTTGGGACTGGATGAGATTTAAGGTTCCTTCCAACCCAAACCATTCTGTGATTTGATGATTCTGTGAGCGATGATGCTGAACAGTGATGGGAGAAGGATGGGTACATTTTTTGTACTGCCACATACAGCTGCACCTGTATGAAATACACTTGTGTGCAGTTCATGCATAGTGCTCGTGCAGATACCGAATCCAGGAGGAGAGGTGAGGAGATGGGTGTACTCTGGGGAGCAATGTCTTTGGAAAGAATCTTGGGTTGCTGTAGGAAATCACGCTGAGTTGTAACTTTCAGAGACCCTGTGGAGAAGAGGATTAACCTTGTGAAGTTAGCTCATGGCCTTGGTGAAGCTGGTGAGAGAAAAGTTGCTTCCAGTTGCGTTGTTCATGTTTACAGCAGTTGCCCCACTACTGAGGAAGGTGCATGGAAAAGCCATGGGGCAGCAGGGATTGATGAGCCAGGGGAGTCACTGGGTCAGTGTAAGGGTACCCAAATGAAACCATTGACATGCAAGAACCAAAATAAAATGGGTGGATGGTCCCTGAGACTTAGCTGCTTCCTCCCAGTTAACTGGTACGTGCTGGGGTGGAGAAGACCACAGACCTGTGTCAGGGAATTGGTTTCTGCTTGTGCTAGGCATCAATAACTCAGAAGAGTTGTTTTCCAGTTCTTGGGCAGAGCTTGGAGCGTGTGTGCCCTGCCCACATGATTGAGGGCTGTGATCCTCTTCACTTTTATTTCCTTTTCCTTGCAGGGATTATTTCACCCCTCTCAGTGCGAGTGGATTGAATGTTCATAGCACAGTTTACTCCAGACAAACAGGTGTACTTTTGGCCCAGGAATTTCAGTGAATCCATCACAAATTTAGGTTTTTAGTCAATTTGGTGGTTCTGGTCCAGCCTTTGTGACAGGGTGTTGGGAGGTGAAAACTTCTCAGTTTCTATGCAGGTATTGTCCTTGATATCCTTTGCAAGCAGAGACGCCTATTTAGTAGAGGTTATGATGCCTGAGTCTGCAGTGGGAACAAGTTACCTGCATCATTGTGTCCTCCTGATTTTGCTTCTGTCTACAGCAGAATGGGTTAAACAAACAAAGAAACCCCCACCAGCATCAGTGAAAAGGTGGATCTTCTGTTTCCATCTCCTGGCTGGGATTGAAGATCTCCACTTTTTTTCAGGGGGAATTGCATAACTGGCTTCCATTCTTTATCCCACAACCCTTATTTCAGTATGACAAGGGGGTTGGAGTTGTTTTTTGAAAACAACACAACTTTAAATATGTCCGCAGTCAGTCACCAGCTCACAGCAAACCTGCTCTGAGTTTCAGATGAGCAGCATTGAGTACCTAGAGTTTAAAAAATCTGGGATCATTCTGATGTTTGGCAAAGAAGCATTGGAGAGCCTGAACTCGGGGGCTTTTTTGTTTGCTTTTTCCCCTTGACTGGAGCGTGGGTATGTGGAGTGGTTTCGTTGTTGCTTATTACCAAGCTTCAGCTTGTATTCTGCTTGGGATAGAAGTTGGATCTGTGCTCTTTCTGCCTCTGCATGTGTGATGGTCAGGTGAGGGGCTGCAATTGTCTCCCAGCAGAAGATTAGCACCAACCAGGTATATTCAAACATTAATCTCTTGGTTTTGTTTTCAGTGGGACTTCTCCTCTTGCCTGCCTGAATGCCATGTTACACACAAACTCCCGAGGGGAAGAGGGCATTTTCTATAAGGTCCCAGGGCGTATGGGAGTGTACACTTTGAAGGTAAGTGGCTTGGGGGGGGAACCTCATTTGAATGCACAGCTCACTTTTATCCATTTAAAAATGTTGTATTAGGATAATCCTGAAGAGGGGACTATTCCTCATTGGCATGAATTGTAGCATAAATTTGCCCTGTGAAAGCAAACACTGAGGCTTCCTGCTTGCTAGTGAGCACCTGGGTGCTGGATATACAACTGGAGGTGATAGTTTTTATTCACGGTTGCTGATATTACTATCCCACAAATGAAGGAGTAATTAAAACTTTAATGGAATTTTAGCCCTAAAAGGGTAACTTCATCTCTACTGATCTCAGCCTGCAGCTAGAAATGAACAATTACCTTTCCTCAGTCTACTAATAGTAGTCAGAGAGCATCTGTTGAGAGAAAGTGTGTATTCCTTGACTTGTCCAATTGGCATCTTTAAAATAACATTTATCTGAAACCTTTTACCCCAGTTAAACTGCTAGAAGGAAGCCTGCTCTCACTGTTCCTGACTTTCTCTAGATTTGACTCTGAAGACTGTGCCGTCAGAGCACTTAGGATTCCCCTCCCTACATGTAGACCTGTTTCATGCAGGTATCTCCACTGGAACTGCTCTCCTCATTTCTTTCCATGCTCAATAGAGAGAACATGAGGTTTATCTCATCCTAAAATATTCAAAACATACGAGAAACTGGGTTTTACAAGTACCAGTTAGATTACCAATGGAATCAACTTAAGATTTGCCCTGAAAAGAGAACTTCCAGGAATCATCTGGTCTAACCTGCCTGTTTAATACAGAGTCAGCTACAGCAGGTCGCTCAGGACCATGTCCATCTGGTTTTAAATTCCTTCAAGGATGAAAACCTTCAGCTTCACTGTTCCAGTGTTTCATCATTTTTGCAGTAGAGAAGATTTTCCTTATGTGGAAGTGGAATTTATGTGTTTCAGTGTGTGCCTGTTGCCTCTCACTTTCTTTCTTTCTTGATTATCTGAATCTGTAGTTCACTGTGCTAATGGAAGAAATCTGGAGTCAATTACATTGTTAACACTTGTATTGTCTTGCATACTCTTTGGCCTTACATGTGGAAATTACTCAGCTCTAATTTCAGAGAAAGTCAAGAAATCAACTGTCTCCAGTTAAACAGAGAAGTGTTTTGATTTGTTTGTTCCAGTGGGTATTAACAGAAGGATTTTGCCCACCTGATGCATGCGGACCTGTCTACTTGTCCAGCTGTTATGGCCACTGTCCTGTTTGTTTATACAGTAGACATTTAAGCTTCAGTTAACTTATTAACAGGAATTCAGGATGACAGTACAGTTTCAGCTTTGCCATGTGACTCACTGAGGTGGTGGGATGGAAGCAGAGCAGAGGGGGATGCAGGTGGCCATGTTGGGTGGGAATGGACTGGTGCCTCTGGCTGATGTCCTGCCTGGCTTGGCTCAGCACCACTGCAGGGTGGTGTTTTAGGTGTTTGGAGAGTGGCAGCATTAATGACCACAGCTGAAGACCTCGGCAGCAGCAAACAGTCTGTTGTTGCTAATTAGCACCGATTTCCAATGTAGGTTAAAATCTCAGTCTGGCAGAGTAATAGTAAGGTGGCTCTGGGGAGACCTTGGAGCAGCAGTGCTGAGGTGGGCTGACAAGAAAGCTGGAGTGGGGGCTTTTGTCAAGGGCCTGTAGAGATAGGACAAGGGGCAATTGCTTTAAACTGACAGAGGGGAGATTGAGGCGAGATCTTAGGCAGAAGTTCTTCCCTGTGAGGGTGGTGAGGCCCTGCCACAGATTGCCCAGAGAAGCTGTGTCTGCCCCATCCCTGGCCAGGCTGGACGGTGCTTGGAACAACCTGGTCTAGTGAAAGGTGCCCCTGCCCCATGGTAGGGGGATTGGAGCTGGAGCTTTAAAGTCCCTTCCAACGCAAACCGTGCTCTGGTTTTATGGCTCTATGAATCACTAGAGGGCAGTCTGGGTTTAGGTGTGAACAAGGCGAAAGCTGCTGCTTCTCCCTGCTGGCCATTACCAGCCTAAAACCCTGCAGGTGAACCCACCGTCTGTGCAGTGCAAATGTCTCACTGCACAGAAACACCAGCCAGGCACAGTTTTGAAAGGACCTGTGTCAGCAGGGCAGGGGCTGCTGTGGACCTGGCTGCAGAAACCTTACTGGTGACCATAATGAGGACTATGAGGCACTGAGCTGTCCAGCTGTTTTTCTGTCATAAGTTCAAAAATTGTCTGGATTTCTCATAAAGTGGGATCATACTGGAGATCATACTGGAATTAGGGATTGGGGATGGAGAACGAGTTAAGGAAGAGTGTACCTGGGAAAGAGGTGACATGGGTGGTGTAAAAGATGTGCCAGCTTGGGCTGGGTTAAGTATTTCATACGGGCTCACAGAAGACAATGTGCATGTTTGAGGGCAGTGGCTGAGCTGTTCTGATATTGCTCTGAAGTGTAGAAAAATCCATAATCAGTGCTGGATAAATAAAGAAAACCACTACTTTTAAGAATTTTGTTAAGTTGGAGAGTCTTATGGTGGAGTGGGTAACTATATCTATTTCTTCCATTTGCAGAAGGATGTTCCAGATGGGTTGAAGGAGCTCTCAGATGGCTCAGAGGAGAGCAGTGATGCCCAGTCTGACTCTCAGAGCTCCGAGAACAGCAGCAGCAGCAGTGATGGGTGCAGTAACAAAGATGGGAAGAAAAGCAGATGGAAACGGAAAGGTAATTTTCCTTTTCAGGAGTGATGATTTTTAACATGGTCTGTGTCCATGAAGGACTTGGAGGTTTTTATCCACCTCATCTGTTGCTTTATAAAGATGGGCTGTTAACAAGTTAACAGCCTAAAATCTGCTGTTACCATTGGTGTTCCTGAATTTACTCAAGTGTTGATTTACTTTTGTGTGCACCGAAAGGGAGAAGGTGTCTGTAAATAAAGTGTGTTTAAGTCCTTGATACAAGTCACAGACCACTGTGCTGCACACCCAGGAACAGGGAATCTGTTTTTTCTCAGCTTTTCTCTGCCATCTACCTGCTTTCCCAAGAAAATTCTGCCTCTTATTTCTGGCCTCTTTTGATGCTTTTGGGTGGAACACTGACCAGGAATGAGTGCAGAATCTCTGAGGCTAAAGCATGTGGACTGATGTGTACTGTAAGGTTTGGGATGGAGCTGCTGTGCTGTTTTTCTTTTTTGGACTCCTTTCCCGCATAAACCCAGCAATATTTAGGTATTCAGTACTGTTCAACATGAAATTGTTTACACCTTAGCTGATAAACTGTTGGTTTTTCCTCCACTGCTTTATCTTAGTGATTGCTGAAGTTGACGATTCAGTGATGGCTCTAGGATATCTAGGTTCTGGATTTTCTACAGAAGTACCAAGCAGAGGAAATAATGGATTTCATTCTCTGTGTTGAATCCTGGTGCCTTTAACCACCCTGAGAAGGCAATGGATGTTGTCAGATACTGCCACATCATGCTGTCATGCTGCTTCAGGAACAGCGGAAACCAGCATCTCTCAGCCAATGAGTTATAATATATACTCCTTGTATTAGTAATAAACTGAGTTCCCACCTTTCCACTTCTAGTTTCAGCACCTACTCATTTGACCAGTGAGTTCTTTCATCCGTCAAAATTCTGCTCTGGTATCTGCTTGTCTGCTTAGATGCTCTGAGTTGAATTAATTAAAAAAGCCATAATAAGATGTGAGGAAGCCCTCCGTTTGGACAGAGGTAGCAGACCGCAGCTCTGGGTCTTCCTGGAGAGCTGCTCGTGCAGCTCCTGGTGCTGTATCTTTACCCTTCAATCCAATCTTTTCCTTTTCTCCTCAGTCATGTACAGAATTTCCTGGCTGAAATAAAACACAATTTAAAGCTTATTTCCCATACAACAGGATACCTGCATGGAAGTGCATGAGAGGTTTTCTGAAGTGGTTAAAGACTTGCAGTAACAGATAGGGTCGGCCAAAACCCTTCCATTGGTGCAAAGGTGTGCAGTGGGGAGTCACTGAATGAGAATGTGCTCTCATCGTATGGGTGCATGAGGCTCATGTGGCTCAGACCCCACCTAGTGCTCTCTTCATGGCCTCTTCTGGACTTGCTCTAACAGTTCCACATCCTCCTTATTTTTGGGGTCCCAGAGCTGGATGCAGGACTGCAGGGGGGCGTCTCACGATAACAGAGTCGAGTTTGAGTTGTTCTTCCTTCTGGTCATCATGTTGCTTTGTATCTTCTGAGTTACACCTGCTGGTTTGCGCCCCTTCAGGAGGTGTGTGAGATCCTCTTGCCATTCTTTGCAATCTGGTTTAATCTTTCGTTATGCAGAATAACTTCTTATCATATGCGTGCACGCTGTGTCTGCAGATCGCGTAGGTTGCTTGGCATGGGCTGTAGCACACTGCCTTGGACACCCCACTGGTCCCTGACCAAGGGGCAGCCTCACTGGTTCTACCTCCTGTTATATTAATTGGTTATTATCTGCAGGATGTCAAGATCTGTAAGACTTAAAGCAGACTCCTTCACTCTTTTCCTAAACCAGATAAGTTTACTTCTAAATCCTGAGTCATCTTTGATCTGTGATAAGCTCTTCTTCTAGAAATCTGCTCTGGTTTATATAAGTGATGTCTTTGCCATTGGCACGTGTTTTACCCTTAGAATTTTCCTTGTTTTCTTAGTAAAAAAAAACACAAAACGACAACAACAAAACCAAACCCAAAACAGAAAAACAAACCTAAAGCTACTTACTTCAGCTAAAAATCACCAGCTTCATGCAAGAATACAATTTTCTCACCTAAATTGCACAAAAGAACTTTCAAAGGCATAAATAAGTGCCCTAGTACTTTGCTCTTTAAAAGGTTTTGATACGGGAGGTTTGCTTTTTAAGCAATTTGGGCAACACTGAAGTACAAGCAAGTACATTGTACTTACAACTCTAATGAGAGAAGAACAGCCTTTTGTTTTTATGGGGTATTACAGAATGATGACAATACCCTGTCCTACTGAAACCTGTGCGCACGGATTCTGGTACGACCTTCGGCTGTGTCACACGAGATACTCGGATGTTGCTTTGGAGGGGGGAGGGCAGGAGCATGGGCATATGTTTCTTTGCATACTCTTATCTAAAATACAGTCTTTTGCTTCTCTGAACCTGTGGGTGGCAGTTTTTGCACTGTACACATGCAGAGCTTGCTTTTGTACTTGGGGTATTACCTGAATTTTGCTAAGAAAAGGTCAGGTCCTGCTGGTTCCAGACATGCCTCCTGCCGTGGATTAGAGCCTGTCTGGTCTGGGGTGAGCCCACTCCAGGAAGTGGGAGCCCCCCAAAACCATGGAAGTGACCTCAGTTTGAGGAACACTGCATATCTATCATAATAAGCTCCCTCTTACAGCAAAACAAGAATACAGACTTGTTCAGTGTGCCTTTACCCTGTGTGGTGCTGGTTGATGCTGCTGTGTCACTGATCCACTGTAGGAAGGGAGCGACCACACCGGGGCTTCCCCCAAGGGCTTTTTGCTGTGCTGGCAGATTCTTGAGGTTTTGCTTTGCAGTGCATGTTTCCTTTCTCTGTTATTCTCCCTTTCCTCTGTCTCATCCTGCTCTGCTGGCTGTGGCAGTGAGGATTAAGGGCAGCATTTTCACGTCATTTTGTGTGCCACTGTCCCCAGGTGCCACCTCTGCCACCCTGCTTGCTGGGAGGCTCCCAAGCACAGCAGAGCCCTGGGGACTCAATAACATGGTGGATGGATGATAACTTCCTCCTGCAAATGGTGGATGAGCCGACCAGGAGAGGAGCGCTGCTGGATCTCATCCTCACTAACAAGGAGGATCTGGTTGAAGCAATAAGAGTTGAGGGCTGCCTTGGTTGCAGCGACCATGAGATGGTGAAGTTCAGGATCTTGTGTGGTAGGACTAGTAGAATACCAAGTAGAATTGCAACCCTGGACTTTAGCAGGGCAAACTTTGGCCTTTTCAAGCAATTGCTAGGGGAAATCCCATGGGCAAGGCTGCTTGAAGGTAAAGGGGCCCAAGATAGTTGGTTTGCATTCAAGGACTGCTTTTTCCGTGCTCAAGATCGGAGCATCCCGACACGTAGGAAGTCAAGGAAGAGGGCCAAGAGACCTGCGTGGCTAAATAGGGAATTGCTGGGTATGCTCAAGTGGAAGAGGAGAGTTTACAGGTCATGGAAGGAAGGGCTGGCCACTTGGGAGGAATATAAGGCTGCTGCTAGAGGATGTAGGAAGACAGCTAGGAGGACTAAGGCATCCTTAGAATTAAACCTGGCAAGAAGGGTCAAGGACAGCAAAAAGAGCTTTTTCAAATACATGGCAGATAAAACTAACACCAGAGGCAATGTAGGCCCACTGATGAACGGGATGGGTGCCCTGGTGACAGAAGATACAGAGATGGCAGAGTTACTGAATGCCTTCTTTGTCTCTGTCTACTCTGCTGCAGGCAGTCCTGAAGAGCCCTGTACCCCTGAGACCTTAGATGAAGTCAGGTCGACGGAACGGTTTGCCTTAGTCAATGAGGAATGGGTTAGAGATCAGTTGAGCAATCTGGACATCCATAAATCCATGGGTCCAGATGGGATGCACCCGCGGGTGCTGAGGGAACTGGCGGAAGTCATTGCTAGACCACTCTCCATCATCTTTACCAAGTCTTGGGAAACGGGAGAGGTGCCTGAGGACTGGAGGAAAGCAAATGTCACTCCAGCCTTCAAAAAGGGCAAGAAGGAGGACCCGGGTAACTATAGACCGGTCAGCCTCACCTCCATCCCTGGGAAAGTGATGGAGCACCTTGTCCTTGGTGCCATCTTAAGGCATATCAAGGATAAGAGGGTTATGAGGGGCAGTCAACATGGCTTCACCAGGGGGAAATCATGTTTGACCAATCTCTTAGCCTTTTATGAGGAAATAACGCTGTGGATGGATGATGGCAGAGCGGTGGATGTGGTCTACCTTGACTTCAGCAAAGCCTTTGACACAGTCTCCCACAGCATCCTCACAGCTAAATTGAGGAAGTGTGGACTGGATGATCAGGTAGTGAGGTGGACTGCGAACTGGCTGAAGGAGAGAAGCCAGAGAGTTGTAGTCTATGGGGCGGAGTCTAGTTGGAGGCCTGTAACTAGTGGAGTGCCTCAAGGGTCAGTACTGGGACCGGTATTATTTAATATATTCATCAACGATTTAGATGAGGGAACTGAGTGTACTATCAGCAAGTTTGCTGATGACGCTAAGCTGGGAGGAGTGGCTGACACGCCAGAAGGCTGTGCTGCCATCCAGCGAGACCTGGACAGGCTGGAGAGTTGGGCAGGGAATAACTTGATGAAATATAACAAGGGAAAGTGTAGAGTCCTGCATCTGGGCAGGAACAACCCCAGGTTCCAGTATAGGTTGGGAAATGACCTGTTAGAGAGCAGTGTAGGGGAGAGGGACCTGGGGGTCCTAGTGGACGACACGATGACCATGAGCCAACACTGTGCCCTTGTGGCTAAGGCCAATGGCATCCTGGGGTGTATTAGAAGGGGGGTGGTTAGTAGGTCGAGAGAGGTCCTCATTCCCCTCTACTCTGCCCTGGTGAGACCCCATCTGGAATATTGTGTCCAGTTCTGGGCCCCTCAGTTCAAGAAGGACAGGGAGCTGCTGGAGAGAGTCCAGCGCAGGGCAACAAAGATGATTAGGGGAGTGGAGCATCTCCCTTGTGAGGAAAGACTGAGGGAGCTGGGTCT